ACATACAAGCTAGCCATATCTCTTGTTCAAAACTCCTCAATCACGAAGTTGTATCGGAAGAAGATATGATGCAACTTTTGCTAATGGAAACGAAGAGGTGAGTTCCAGGAAGTAGTCGCAAAATAGGAGTGACGAGCACTAGAACAAGACCTTTATCATCCTGACGTTTCAGATACTCGCTCGAACCCATCATCAGAGGAAGTCGTAGAAAAGGGTTCGAATGAGAATCAGAACCGACAGGCTAATAAAGCTCTTGTTTTTGTGATCGTGTTTTTATCGCAGGGGCTTAAGTTAATAGGGGAGACCCTAGCCGCTGCGATGTTCAGGTCTGTTTCCGTGTGGGAAAAGAAGTGGGATGCCAGATGGGAGGAATAGGTTAGGATAATAGGTTGGAAGAAGTTTGTAGCCGGACGGACGTGTGTCCGCAGTCACGAGTGTCGGCGTCCAAAGTGACAGCGTGGGAGTCACCACATCGCCTACAGTGTAGTCACTTGTGAGTCAGCCTTGGAGATGATTGGCCGGATGGAATTAGGAGTCGTTAATTGCTTTTGATTTAATAATCCGTGTTTGTTGTTAGTGTGATTATAACTCAGCCGTTTAACTCGCTGTCATTGGAATTCTTGTACGCTCGCGCCCTCCTCACGTGACTCCTCCGCACTAGCAAAGGCTCGGCACAAAATACGGTAGTGGGGAAAAGTGGCAGAAAAGGGTTTTAGGGATAATCACCACCCACAGGCTAATAGAGTTCTTGTTCCGGTGATCGTGTCCATATCGCGACCCTAGCCGCGAAGATATCGTGTATGTATACTGGCAAATTTTGGTATGGGGGGGGTGAGGGAAGTGCGGCTCTTTGCTGTAGTCCATCCGGAGATAGGTCCATCCGGGGATGAGTCCATCCGAAGATTGGTACAGTCCGTTCCACTAACGTGAAGGCTTGCTGCTTGGGAACCTCACGCCTGAGGACCTATGGCTCCGCCCAGACAAAGTCGCCGACTTCCTTCATCTTTCTTAAAAATTTTATACCTTCCTCTTTATTCTTTATTCCTTCATCTTTATCCCTCATCTTTCTTAAAATTTTATACCATGTACTTCTGGCAAACTAGGTTAAGGGAGTAAGCTAGTATAACAACAACAAGATATCATGTACATATCGAGCACAGAGTTTCGGTCTATGGTGTTGCAAAACCAGTGGCTCCAACCGTTGCAAGCTTGCCTCCAATATGAGTCCCGAAATGGATCAACTCATTGGCGTGGCCTTCATCTACTCGTAGATTGTTCCGTTGAACGTGAAGTATGTCTCAAGACAGAACTGCAGGAGTTGGAGGATCTTGGCGTGTCTTATTCGATTCTGCGTCTTATCATCTTTGCTTTGTAGGAGTAATATGACTACCCCGACCGCCAGATTGCGTAGAACGAAAGTAAAAATGGATTTGGCCTCAAAAGGTACCATGGCATCGTGTGGCAGGGGACTAACCCCTTTAGATTTTTCCGAGAATGGGAGGCTCGGACGCTACTGACTACCAAGTACGATCAAGTACAATCCCGAGCGTTTATCGCGAGAGCTGCTAATCATAGTGCACCTGTGTTCGCATAGCAACTACGTCCTATAAATACTGCATTTCTTTTGTCCCCATTAACCTTCTCTGCGACTGGGTCTGAGTGAGAATCCGAAACATCGGATCAATCAGCTTCTTGTTACAGTGATCGCGTTTTCTTCTATGAGTGCTAGCATTTTTGTTCACCGTAGTCCAGATCGATCACCTTTCACCTAGTTCTCGTTCGTATAATTCTAAATAGAGATCTACAAGGTTGGGCGACATAGCCTCGCAACTCCGCGTCGGCTGACTGTGGTGGTGACATGGCTCTGCTAGCCTCAATGTCCGATTGTCCTCAAACTGTAGTCTCGATTAGACGAAGTCACTGAGTCAGCATGTCTACCCATCACCTCAAACGAAGTAAGTATTCTCAGTATGCATCTCCAAACAGGACAGAGGTACTCTTTTGACCGACGTTATCAGGCTGGAACAACAGACACTTTAATATATCTGCAAAACAAAGTATTGCCAAATGTACAGTGTGTCTGTGCAATTTTATCCACACTTTTTCTTGATACCTATGTTTTTAATGAGATACACAGAATTTATGACAGGCTTGACGATCTACGCTCTTTGTGCGTGGAAGGTGAACGGAAACTGGAGATATTGCTGCTTGAGAATCTTCCTTCGAGTGAATTGCACCGACTTCATCTCAAATGAGACAGTCTGCGTTCGTTGCGACGATATTGCAGGGATATCCCAGGCTATCCTAGAAAGACAACTGAGGTGCTTTAGATACGTTCTTCGTCGTCAACCTCGCCAGCTCAGTGTTACTGCCCTCGACCTTATTGGAAACGTCAAAGAGGGAGTCAGCTCAAAGCCGGGTTCGACTCAGTCCCTCAGGACACGGAGGTGGTTCTTGGATCTTCGGTATTCGGTCTCCGGCGTTAGCGAAGAGGATGGATCGAAATGTTCAGGTCTTCTGCCACCAATCGTCACGCGTGGAGAAGTACCGCCCTGGACATCATCGAGGCCGGCTAGATCAGTAATGATCGCAGCCGCAACAAGTACAAGTTTGCGGCTAGGTCACGCGAATATCTTTGGTCTTACAAATTTAAATCCAAAACTGTTCAGACCCATTTGTCATCTCTCGTCTCACGGATTTGGTATTTATGCCCTTAATCCCCCGCCGCTCTGTCATAAAAATCGAAGCAGAATCGAACACTCAGAGATACGTCTCGGTAATCCGTCAAGTTTGTTTATTACAGGAGCCTTCTGTCGTTAGCATTGAAGTGGGACATTGCCCTATGTGTCATATCCACAACCCGCATGGAAAGAGTACGCCAAACTAGAATTTACTTTCAAGCAGAACCCCTGTTTACCAAACCAATGCTAAGACATCTAGTTTATTAACTGTGTTATGGGGACGCGAGCGGCCACGCGCTCAGAACATACTGCTGAAAACGCACCCCAGCTGAGCCATACCGGCAGAGCGGCTGCGCCCGCCGTGAGCACACGTAACGCCCGCTCCCACATGCAGACCAGATGTTCTAGAAACGTCTCGCAGCGTGGGAAACCACGGATCAGCATGCGCGTCGGAACCCCCCTCGCATGTGATAGGCCAGGATTAGTCTAGAAGAACGAAGGCCTTATAGAATGTAGTGGACATGCTTATTGATTCCGCCGTCTATTTATTGTCCTGAATAAAGACGCTTGCGATCAGAACCGGCTTTGCCTCTTTCTGCCTATTACTCATCGGGACATAACTGGCGACGCAGGTGAGATTCAGTTTTTAATACGGGACATAACAAACTGAAGGTTTTTTGGCACTCAGAAACACACTGTAATCAGCTTCGATATGTTTAAATTGCAACGGTCGAACTACTGTCTATAAATTGCACTAAAATGCGACCATGACCCTTCGGATTTTAATCTCATAGAAAGTACTATGCATTGGGATGAATTTTATATATTTAGACTACCGTTTAAGTACGTTTATTTTGGTATCTGTATGTGTTTGCCTCGTTTTCTGTCCCTGGTGCAGGTCCTCTTGGGTCTTATTGAGGTTGGGGGTTACGCACTGCGTCGCCTCTACGGACGGCAAGCTGACCGACTTCTGAAAACAATCTTGAATGTCATCGACAATTCAGAAGTCCTCGCTTATTCTGCTCCTGAACTTGCACTGGTCACGTGCATAGAAGAAGGTTTAAAAACTGGCAAATTCCCCGGCGAGTTCGGATGTCTCATGGATGATTTTTGGAGCTAATTTATCCTCCGTGCAAGAAAATCATTTCCAGATTCCCTTTTATGCCTGTAAATACAATATACTCCCTGTATAAACGTTGGCCCTCCGCTATTTTGACTTGTTCGTACCGTTTATATCTGGGCTTATGAGTGCTGCTCAATAAAACTTGGGTTTCTCATAGTCGGACCTAAACTCCCCAGGGAAAGTCCGATCCTTTTAGCTTTCCCGTGCCCTTGCCACGCGGAATAATGTCCTCGTTGGTTCTGGTATGACCTATGTGGGGTAGATTCGAACTCGAATGCCACGGATTATGATTTTACGAAACATTCTACTGGACCAGGGACCTTGGATACCTCAGCGACCTTTCTAAAGCCGATCTGAAGTTTGGTGTCCGTGTCTGATCCAGTACTCACTTGTACTTGTTACGGCTGTGATCATGCCTGATCTAGCCGGCCTC